TCCGTTCTAGAATATCCTTTTCATTTAAAGTTTTCACATTATAAAGTTTGCTCTATTTTTTTCATTTTTTAAGAAAAGATTCAATCTACTTTTTTCTTTTTTTTTCTTTTTTTTAAAGAAAAGATTCAAGTTACTTTCGCTTGTCAGCATGTATACGGTTACAATAAAACTAAAAAAATAATAAAAAGTGCGTTCCAGATATATTAATTATCATAATCCAAATTGCCCCACCACTATCCAATTTGCTTCTCAAATTTTCTTCATATGAAAATCGGCGGGTAAATTGGATAGCTTAATTTCAACGCAGCGGAGTATGTTTTATATCTATTGTTGCTATCAATACTTACAACTACATGAAAGGTAAAACTAATTAAAACTAATCAGTGACATAAGCGAACCATAACGACAGCAACACTGTTACTTGAACTGTTATTTTATTATATTAGACTACTTTGCAAATCGCACGGAAAATAAGTTATTGCATGATAAAAGAGAACTCTATTTTGATATTAAATGATCCAGAGTCACATTGATAGCCTTACCAAACTCTCTAATTTATATATTTTTATTTTATTACATATTTATATCTTATATGACTTTTTTAAATTTTATTTAATGAATAAATAAAATATTGTATAAAATTATGTTTTGACATAAAACCCTTATAAAAATAAAATATTGGTATTATTAAATTGACAGTATTAAATTGGCTAGTAATTACTTGCTTTTAGTATTAAAAGCATTGTTGTTTAATACTTTTGATACTTAAAATATTCAAAAATAATTAATAGCCAATTTAATACTGCCAATATTACATTTCTGTAAGAAAACTGTAAGAGAATAACGCAGAATCAAATTGATAACTTTACCGAACTATTTGATTTATATAATGCGGACGTGTTTAACTGTGCGACTATTTTGCAAACCGCACGAAAAATAAGATAATGATAGTGTTTTGTAGGCATAAATTAGAGTATATTATCGCAAAGGAAAAATATTTATTTAATCGCGTCTTTTGGTTCATATAAATATACCCGAGCAAGTATTTCTAATTTCATTTGCAACAGTAATCAATTATTGATTAGTCAATTCTATTATTGCTTGATAGATTTCTTTTCAAAATGACACCGTTAAATGTTGCTAATGTAAATATGTTAGCAACAAGCTTTCAAATTACAAGTATAACACCAACACCTACAATATCTTTGGAAATCAAAATCCATAATGAAATTGTTAATATTTTAAACAATTTTCAAAATACTTGTTCGGTGTTGTTATTGGAACATCATTATGAGCTTAATTTTGACGATCCATCAGAACCACATGAATCACAAATTGTAGAATATATTGTAAATATAGAAATAGAAGAAGATAATTTTGAATCTGAAGAATCCTTTGTTGATGATGAAGGAGGGTCGGTCGATTTTAGTTATAAAAAAAAGCTGTGGAGTTTTGGAAAAAGCAGAAAAAAGGCCAGTCGACTTTTATCTAGTATACAGAAACGTTTTTGCAAGGTTGAATCTATACACCAGCTACACATGTATAGGTGGGAGGCGAGTGTGAATAGAGGTGGAACAAATGCAAATAAACTTGCATTTATTACATAATATGTTCTACAAAAGTTTCAAGAAGCTTGTGATAAAAGATCTGTCATTCATGACATGAATTTAAGATTTTGGGTTTTGGAAGCAAAAGATCAAGTGGACCTACCCAAATTCAAGGCAAGTAAATGATGGATTTGAAAATTTAAGAAAGTACACAGAATTGTTTCCCGCAAGATAACAACATTCAGGACGTAATTAACACTACAAGATATTGACAACATACAAGATGTCGCAAAATCGTTTGTTTCAAATGTAAAGTCTAACATCCCAGCTATTGGAGTTGAAGAAATTTATAATGCAAACAATCTTGAACTACATTCTGGACGAACATTGGCAAACATAGGACTGAAAAAAGTTGAAGCACTGGTTCAATCGATATCTTCTACAACACATAGTTACACTATAATGCCGATTATTTCGACAGACAGACGTCTTCTTTCACCACTGTACATAGTTTTGAAGGAATCTACGAAAATATTTGGACCACGGGTGCTAGAAACCCTATTTTGTCCAGTTAACATTTACATCGAAGCTTCGAAATCAGGAAAACTAATGTCTAAACATTTTATATATTTAGTCCATGACTTGGTTCAACGAAGTCTATCTACTGAATACTGGCCGTAAAAGCATACTTCTACTCGACTCATGGACGGGATATTGCCCAAGCCAGCTAGAGCTGTTGATTCCACAAGATAAAGAGATACAATTTGCAACCATTCCAAAGAAGACGACGAGTATCATTCAGCCTTTGGATCTATATGATTTCCGGATTTGGAATAATTTCGTGCGAACATTTTCGGATAATATAATTCTTCAAGAGATTGATATCAATTTGCACTCCCGTAATGAAATAATTAAATTATAATCACTAACCCACAATCAGTTTTCTTCGCTTAAATTTAAAAATCTTTTTCAATATGCTTGGTATAAAAGCGGATATTTAGAAACACATCCCGACAAATTTCAAAATCCTGTAGAATTCTGTTATTTCAAAAATTAAAAAGATATACCCAGATCGGAAGAGCACAC